CGCGTGAATAACAGAAGGGAAAGCGGCTTGTATCTCCAGCTTAGAAGGTAAACACGCTTAGCTGAGGGCCCAATGAGTTAACGTACGTGTGTGTGTGTGTGTGTGTGTGTGTGTGTGTGTGCGTTATGACTGTGAATCTGTATGTATGTGTGTGTGTGTGTGTGTGTGTGTGTGTGTGTGTGTGTGTGTGTGTGTGTTGTGTGTGTGTGTGTGTGTGTGTGTGTGTCCCTATGTGTCCATGTTTGTGCCTGTGTACTTACCTATTTATAACTTGACCTATGTACTTACCTGTGTACTTACCTATTTATAACACATTTGTGGCTAGCTGGTCTAGTGGTTAGCGCGACGGGCTGGAGTTTTGAGACTCTATGACCGCGGGTTCAATCCGGCCGGGGGTATGGTTTACCTATTTATAATTGGCGTGGAGGATTAGGGCATAATCTTATCAAATCCGAAATACCTAAATAATCCACACAGATACAGACACACACACACACACACACACACACACACAACACACACACACACACACACACACACACACACACACACACACGTCCGCTAACATACCCATACGCAGCCAGCGCAACCAAGAAACGATAACGCTAGAAGGGGGTATTCGCATCCATTCCCATCCTCTGTAGCCTGGCGTAAAGTTCCCGCAGCCTCATAATTGTACAGCCTGGCCAGTTTACGGCCTCGCTCCACACCTCTTAATGTAGAAAAATTATCTTCTTCTCTAATTCCTAGGACATTTTTGGGAGACTTGAACGAAAGTTTCAGTGCTAACTTCTCTCCTTTATAATGATAAAACTACGAGATATATTTATGAAAATAATAGCTCAGTGGAAGCCTGATATACAATGTACTTGTACAATGTTGCACTTCTTTATTATTACCATCTCTTTCATAAATAAAAGTATTGGTCGAAACTAGTGCATTCGTTTATATCTTGCATATTAAATTACTATTATTTTATTATTATTATTATTATTATTATTATTATTATTATTACATAAACGAAAAGGCCACCCTGGAGGGATTACCACACAAGAGGAAAGTGAAATTCTCCTAATGTTACCGCGATATAAATTCAATTATAATTGAAATTTGTATACTAAACTCTTCACAAATGAAGGACAAGAAATATAAATTGTAAAGCCCATTGCAGTAACTTGCAAAGCCATTATAGATAATAGGGACCTTGCTATAAATAATATTCCAGAGCAAGATAATGACGTTTGTAAATCCCTTAACTAATGTAGGCAGAGGGGGTAATTTGAGCCTTCCTCCTCTTCTATCTCCTCCACACTCTACTCCCTCTTTCTCCTGCTCCTGCTTCTCCTCCTCCTCCTGCTTCTTCTTCTCCTCCTCTTCCTCTTCCTCCTTCTCTTCGTTACAGTTTTCCTTCTACTTTTTGTTTTCATCCCGTTTCTCGTCTTCATCCTGCTTCTCGTCCTCATATCCATCAACGTCCACGTCTTCATCCCTTGATCCTTCTCTTCCTTCTTCTCTTCTTTCTCCTCCTCTTCCTCATATATACTCTTTTCTTTATAACAGTCCTTAATCCTCTGTTTTTCGTTTCCATCTTCATCTCATCTCTTATTGACTCATTTAAACGTTTCTTATATTCATAACTGTCCTCTTGGTATCATCGTCTCCTTTATTACCTATTTTATTCCTTAACCACCCTTTTCCTTCTTCTTTCAACAAACCGGCAGTATCCCACCGAGGCAGGGTGGCCCAAAATGAAAAACAAGAGTTTCTCCTTTTAACTTTAGTAATGTATACAGGAGAAGGGGTTACTAGTCCCTTGCTCCCGGCACTTTAGGTGCCTCTTACTCCACGCATGGTTTACGGAAGAAGAATTCTGTTCCATTTCCCCATGGTGATAAGAGGAAATAAACAAGAACAAGAGCTAGCAAGAAAATAGAAAAAAAACCAGAGGGGTGTGTATATATATGCTTGTACAGGAATGTGTATTGTGACCTAAGTGTACATAAGAACATAAGAAAGAAGGAACACTGCAACAGGTCTACTGACCCATGCGAAGCAGGTCCATTCCCCCCACCCAATTAGCCCAATGACCCACCTAGTCAGGTCACTTCCACTTAAGAAAGGAGCAAGGCATCAGACCTAGTAGGACAAGGTAGTCAGGTCCAACTCACACCCACCCACACCCACTCATGTATTTATCTAACCTATTTTTAAAACAACACAACGTTTTAGCCTCTATAACTGTACTCGGGAGTTTGTTCCACTCATCTACAACTCTATTACCAAACCAGTGCTTTCCTATATCCTTCCTGAATCTGAATTTTTCCAGCTTGAAACCATTGCTGCGAGTCCTGTCTTGGCTGGAAACTTTCAGCACGCTATTTACATCCCCTTTATTTATTCCTGTTTTCCATTTATACACCTGAAATCTTGCATGTTTACGAGACAGATAAAAGACACCAGCAATCCTACCATCATGTAAAACAATTACAGGCTTTCGTTTTACACTAACTTGGCACTACAGTAGTGCCTCCCTGGGCGGCTGCTGTCTATCAACCTACTACCGAGAGCCATTTTCCTCTCTTCATCTATCGTTTCCATTCCAACTACCTTCGAGTTTCATCTGGTCCTCTGTTTATGTCGATACTCGCTTCCACCTCTTCTCATTTTCTTCATTGTTTACTTCCCAATCTCTCTTATCCCTTTTTACCATGCATAAAAATCAGTAACTATGCACATTCATTCAGCCTGCAACCCTACTCCTTCTATCCATTTCTCCAGCAAATCCTCCATAAACACACACACACACAGAGGAGCTGTGGCTCGACCCTTGCAACCACAAATAGGTGACTACACACACACACACACACACACACACACACACACACACACTCTCTCTCTCTCTCTCTCTCTCTCTCTCTCTCTCTCTCTACATAGCTTCAAGAGTGGATAAAATAAGGCTCAATAGGCCACAAGTTAATGATGCCCATCAGGACCACCAGCGATGGTTCAACTCTCACAAACATAAATTGATAAGCACATACACAACACACACCAAGAGCTGGAGTTCACCGATCTCAAACCCAAATATTTAGATATACATTAAAAAAAAGACGAATAAATCAGAAGTGTAAGAAGGATGGAGTAAATGATTCCCAAGCAGCAGCTTCCAGTGGCCTCTCCCTCGTGTTGAGGCCAAAAGAAAATGTATTCTGCTAGTTTAATTACTTTTCCCAACTCGTTATCAATCTAATTTAAACATTCATTAAAACTTCCCACGGCCTTTTTTTTCCCCTCCAGCGGGACTGTTATATCAAGCTTGAGGCTCTAACAAAGCCTTTGCTTATTTTGCTTCTAAGCGTTTTTATTTTGCTTCCTAAGGAAAAGTGGATAGGTTAAAGGAGTGGGGGTGAGGGAAGGAGAGATGTCTGAGGGGACGTGAAAGGAGGGGGGAGAAGAAGGTGAGAAGAAGGGCAAGATGGGAGGAAGGAAAAAGAATGAGGTGAATGGGGTAAGCGATGAAGGGAAGGTCGAACCTTTCCCCAACTCATTTTTTTTTAAATACTGCATCAAATTCCATGGCTTTATTTACTAGTCTTCGCCATTTTCCTTGTTCTGATTTATTGATACGAATCGATATTGTAATTAATGTTACTGTTTATCCGTGTGTTTCCTTATTCCTCGACTCGTTAGGAGAATTATTTCGATTCTGGTTTGCTTTATTTGTTATTATATCTGCTAACTTTATTTATCTCTTATAATTGTTAATATCGTCATTATCTTTTCTCTTTCTCATTTTCATGTCTATGTTTTTAAGAATTTCATCTTCCTCATTATCGTGTCTGGTTTTCGTGCCTTTCATCTCTTCGTTATTGTGTCTATCGTATTTCTTATATTCTCCGTGTCATATATTTCTTATTTCCTGCTTCCCTCATTCTCGCACCCATCTTTCATATGTTCTACCCCACTCACCATTCCAATCATTATTATTTCGTATTAGCATTATTACAATACAAGCCATATTTGCTCTTTTCAAATCCTCTTTACACACGATTTATGTAACTTCAATCTTGCGTTTACTGTTATTATTATTATTATTATTATTATTATTATTATTATTATTATTATTATTATTATTATTATTATTATTATTATTATTCAATTTAGGTTACCACATTTTAAGTTACCAGCTGACCGGTGTACCCAGCTAAATTTTTAATTTCACACAAGATATGCGGAACAAGACTCCAGTCAGGTAGCGATCCTAGGGTGAAGGACCGCCTAAGACACTCTTATGACACGAGTTAGTCGGCTGCTTTCTTGGACTTTATGCCTAACGACTACACGAGAGGCATTAAAGCTGCGCGTAGACCTGTTCATCACTATACAAGAATACCCTTAGTTCCTATAAAAAAAATTATTAAAGTCAACTATAAGCTTTATGTACACAAAGAGATATACGCCCGAGTTCTTGTAAGATTAATTTATCAATAAACACATCGGAGACTTCGTTACCAGTTTGAAGCTTTATCAGACACTGATGTCAAAGACACATGAAAGAGCTGATGGATTTCTTAAAAACAGTCTTGCTCAGAGAAGAGCTTGCTATAGTAAAGGCTTACGCTGTTTCATGTGTCTTTGTTATCTACTTGTCAGCTTCTTGCTGCTTCCATCTACGAGACAGCGAAGTGTTCGGAAAAGTGCAATCATATTTTTAAAATCTTAAAAATTCAGATCACAATGTGATTAAACTTAAAACAAAACTCTTATATATAATTATTTATAGCAATAAATTGGTAGCAGGCATTCCCTTGAGGACAGTGAGTGACTGCACTAAACGTCAGTTGAGTTTCCAGACCTTAAAATGATTATTATTAGATTATTAATGACACATTTAGAAATTTTGACACAGCAGTAGAGCTGGAACAACAAAATATATAATTTCATATAAATCTCCTGTAAATGTTGTTAGTAGAAGCTGTTGTTAAGAACCCTTCTTCCAGAACTGATTTCCTGGATTACTTACCGGGTCCGAGCTATTGAGTTCCAGCGACCGTAGTGCTCTGGAGGGCGCCGTGGGCGAATGGACGGCATGGGCTAGCTGGCAGAGAGGATTGGAAATGCCGATTACTTCCAGGTAATCAAGGTATTTCTATGCAACTAAAATGTGGGCGCGATTTTTGCATTTTTTAAAGTCTTCACTTAAAAAACTGACAGGCAGCCATGAAAATAAAAGAAGGTAAGTAAGGGCGATTTAAGATGACTTGAGCATAGGTTTGGATGTGGGCGATGACAAAAAACATTTATCAGTAATATATCTGGATATAGCAATGAGTGTTATCATAGCCAGTAGAGGGTAGCAGATGGTATTAACATGATGCTAGCAAAGATGACTCTCTCAGCCTCTAAAGCCAAATTTGCAAGTACAATATTACCTCCGTGATAGATATAAAACTTACTTCTGAAGCTGAAATTATGTATATTAGGTTTATAACTATTATCTCCATAACTATTATCTCCCGAACACATACCAATGTTTCTTTGGTCGGTTGATTCTTAGTAATTGATGATGTGCGAGGCCTCTACAGTATTCGTTTCATCCATCACAGTGGAATAAGCTTTCATATCAATAATGCCCAGTGAAAGGTTAACCTTTAAAGTCCATTGCGTCATTTTCACAAGAGGGGAATGCAAGCCGGCTGTAATAAGAGCAAATCAGCTTCCATTGTTAAGACCAGTACAAGCGGATCTACACCGTTCTCCAGTTCTTGCAGTTATTCAGTTGAAGCCTAGTTGCAAAGAAGCTTCTCTTGCGGTTGCATTTACAAGGGAAGTACTGAGGTTTTGCAAGGGTGTTGGCGAAAATACCAAACGTAAAGCCGAGTCAAAACAAGCACCATAGAACCATGACACCGGAGATAAAAGGAGCAGAAAATACTAAATAATGTTAGTCAGCTCGTCAAGCAAGATTCATGCAAGCACGCTATATACAATTATTAATTTTGCCAACCGAAACCAAGACCTCCCGAAACTGTTCGTCAGCATGATGCCCAGTCCACAAGAGAACAGTAGCATACAAGCTGGTTGCCAGGGGTACTGTGAGGTGTAGCCTCAGTTCATACACGTGTGGGTATGTGGGTATGTACTTTCACCCTGTTTACCAAGATAAATTAACTCTGATAGGCCATACATCCAGAGAATAGTTTTTTCTACCTAAATTTGGCCGACACAAATAAATAGTAAACAATATGAAGGAATACATAATTATATATAAAATGCATAATATAATAATGATACATAATAATAACAAACATGTAAAGTGTAAAAATAAAAGTCATAATATCTTTACTAAAACATTCACAACTTAAACGTAGTCGAGAATTAATTTCCAGTGAGTGGGTTAGTAGAAAATAATTAACATAATGTAGATTACAAATTTACGTATATATTAATGTGTTGAGATGCGCCGTGATAGACCTCCACTGTTTTAGTCACCTCTTTGGCAACGCTATGTTTAGCCATTTTCAATCAAGAGGAATCCTTTAATGGTGGTGAAAAACCTCTTGATCTTATAAATTAGAAACAAACTCATTTTCATTATCAAAAAAAAACTTCATTACGTCTCATTCCTAAAATACTTTATTACCCCGTGAAAATAATAATCATCCATCTCCTCATCCCTGTTAGTTAAGAGGCAGGGCCAGGAGCTAAGAAACGATTCCCACAAACACAAAAGAGTAAGTGCTGAGGCTGACCTACAAGTATCCTGTTCGACTGGATTGCCAGCTTAGCACAGATAAGGTTTAAAGTTGAGAATCAGGTTTAATTTATTCACGTGTTACCCACCGAGACCAAAACAATATTAAATAGCCAACAGCTTGTCAACTGTCCACCACTTAAATAACCTCGCGATCGTATTTTCTTAAAATCTGTCTTTCTCAGTCTCTATGTCTGTCTGTCTGTCTCTATATCTGTCTGTGTCTCTGTCTGTCTCTGTGCCTGTGTCCGTCTGTTTGTCTGTCTGTCTGTCTCTCTGTCTCTCTCTCTCTCTGTCTCTCTCTCTCTCTCTCTCTCTCCTCTCTCTCTCTCTCTCTCTCTCTCTCCCTCACTCTCTCTAACACAGATTAGATCAAACAAGCTCCTGCACCCTACCAAAGCACACTTCTTAATTCTTTCAGACTTAACTAAGAGCACTAATACAACTTTCACTCACAGGACTGACTACGTCTTAACTCACAAAGTTAAGAAGATTAATTTAAAACTTTACCACCCATATTTATGAGCCTCAAATCCAAGTGATATATCTCTGATTTTGCTTATATCTTTATTTTATATATATATATATATATATATATATATATATATATATATATATATATATATATATATATATATATATATATTTATATATATTGCCGCCGAAGTTACTAGGTTATTATGATTCATGAAATCATGATAACATGACAGACTACAAACAAACCACGTTACGGGTTCGAGCCTGACCCGTACCGTAGTTTGCTAGTTTATTCTTCACTCCATATCCATCATGTGGATGGTAGCTAGTTAACTGTTAATCCCATAGCCATCCTATGAACGATAACGTCTGGCTTATTGTGCTCCCCATATATATTATGTACATGTTAGTGACTTGTTTATTGTGCATCCCATATCCATCACGTGTATGGTAACTAGCTAATTGTGTACCACATATCCATCACGTGTTTGGTATTGGCAAGTTTACTGTACATCTCACATCCATCTTGTGAACAATAACGCATAAGCCAATGGATATATAAAACACCTAAGAACAAACCTCAAAAATTGTTAACAAGATAACATCTGGGTACATATTTACAAACAATATACCAGCTATTACAAGCCAATTTAGGATATTTGTTCAAAATGTCTTGTATTCAATTTTCACAGTCGATAAATTATCCTCATACATCTTTATCCTTCCAGCTTGTGCAGGCAGCGAAACTCAACAGGCACCAACGGATTAAATCAAGCACCAGCAGCTTCCCTCAGATATCCGCAGCTACACTCAGGCACCAGCAGCAGGAATGACACTGTTACGCTAATAACGATATTCGTTCATCATAGATTTGTCCTTCAAGGGAAGGGGAAATTGTCTTGATATCAGTGAAGGGCTATTGATCGAAGGAATTGAACCTACCTCGCCCCTTTCCATGGATAAAACCTTATTATCTCCTATTTTCTGTACGACGTGTAAACACCTATAGGTTCAGGGCTTCTCCATAAATAAAATAATAAGTTAACGAAGAGAAAATTGTCCCGTTTCCCAATGAATAAAACAACCCACTGTTAGATATC